CAAATATTATAAATATTATTTTATTTAAAATAATGCAATAGACCAATAAAATTTGTTGGTCATTTTTTTAAATTTGTTAAGTCTTTGTCTATAATTTTTGAGCCCTTCATTGTAATTTTTAATATTTTTTGTCATTTTCTAGTCAAATAACATCCAAAGTTAACTTTGATTAATAATAAGGGTCATATTACATTATTTTCAAAAGCTATAAGGGAATATTATACTAAAAATGAGTTTAGAGTTAAACACTTATGAAACTATAATTTAGGTGTCAATTAGCTCTTCTATGTATGGTACTCCCTCTATTCAAAAAAATAAAGCATTTTTAACTAAATCTTACCTTTCAATAAAGTAGTTATTTACTTTCAAACTAGTATTATCTTTTCATATTTACTCCTATTAAATATCCTACAATAAATATAAAGTCATTCATCAATAAGGGTACTTTTAAAAAAAGGCAATGATTATACTTTAAAAGATTAAAAATACTTTATATTTTTTAACATCTAACTTTTTAAAAAATATCTTTTATTTTTAAATGAAAGAAGTAATATTAAAAATATGCATTGAACATTTGCGCTTGTACGTTATAATATATTTTATAGAAGTGACTAATAGATAGGTATTTATGATATGCTGAGATTTGTATTAATGGAGGTCAAGCGCAAGCTCCGCCTCTCTAGTGCATGGGTTTTTATATTTTTCAAAGATAAATCATTACTATTAATGCATGATTTTAAATAACATAATATTGGTTTTTTAATTTTAAAAGTACCCATGAGAATGACAATGAGGTTTCAAGAGGACTAGTTAATTCAATTCAAGTTTCAACTAATTTTAGGGTGGCAAATAAAGTCTCGTGGTCTTTTAGTAATAAATATTAAATATAATAATTCTAGAGATTTATCAGTTTGACTTTTAATTTATAATTTTGTTGTGATGAAATTATAATTTATTTTTTAAATTTTAACAAAATTAAAGAATAAACAATAATTATTAAACCTATTTTACCAAAAAAAATTATTAAACCTTTTATTTTTCAACATTAAATATGAACATTATGTTTTCAGTTAAAACTTAAAAAATAAGTTACAAATACATTATAACAAAGTTGTAAAATTAAGAGTCGAACTTATAAATCCTTAGAGCTGTTAGATTTAATATTTTTCAACATTAAAGATCAATGTAAGGTTACTTTTACTAATTCATGTCCATAATAATTCAATACAGGTAATTAATGAAATTAATCTAAAAAAATTACCCAATTATGGTTAACTGTTTAAAGATAATTCAAAATCAAAGGTATTTCTATCAAAAACTGGGATTTAAGTTTAAACTTTAATAAAACCAATTAAAAGTGACTTATTTAAGCCAAAAATTAAGAACAAATGATTACAAAAGCATGTGATATTATCCAATAGTCAAGAAGACTCAAATTGGTTCAAAAACATCAGGGGAGTGAAAAACAGAGGAGCATACCACAGCATTGTGCACACACGCTTAGGCTTGTTCTTCTTTATGTTGTGTGCTGTATTGTAGGTGCCATGTATTGTGGCACGTTGTGCAGAATTTGACAATTTTGTGCTATCACATGATAGCAACTTGAAACAACTTTCTGCATGCCCTATTTCTCCATTTAACATTCAAATCAAGGTGATCTAAATATTTATAAAAAGCTTTGGTCATATCCTAGCTAATAGCGTGAATTTTTTTTCTTACAAATAATTGCACACAAGGAAGTCAAACATTCAAATACTTTTTTTTTTCAAATTCTAGCACTTTTCACAATAGAAGGGTGTTAAAAAATCCTATACATGTGCCAAAAGCTACTGTTAACACGTAAACCACACATAATGGACTTTAGATCATTTGTGCAACACACCACATGCACACAATAATAACAAAATCTCATTTTTTCTCCTTAGCCCCTTGATATCAAAACCAATAAGGGAAGGTTTAACATTACATTTAATCAAATAATTTTCATAGTTATAAACATTTTAAAATTTCTGCACTTATACTAGTATTTTGACCATATTAATAATAACTAAATTTACTCACAATATTCTAAGGCCCAAAAACAATGATCAAAGCATGAAAATCCCTATAATGCAAGTATAACAAAAGAATGCAATCCTTAGTTGGCAATATTCATCTAATTACAAAAAATAAATAAAATTGAGAGGCTTTATAGTGGAAATATTAAAATTCCTAAGCCATTGGAGCCTTTCCCTTATCTGTGCTTGAGTTAGAGCCTGTAAAATATTAAAAAAGGGTGAGTACAACTATTTAGCAACTAGAGTATATTTTTTCTATACAATTACATATTAATTGACATTAAACATATATGCATATACCAGAATTTACAATTTCATAATCATATGAATACATAATCATATGAATCTACATGATCTCATGAAAATACGTGCAGTTTAATCGTATATTTCACAATCACATTACAATGCTAATTATCACAATACTAATAATCATGTGGCAATAGCAATTCAATAATCATGACTTGTCACAAACTTAACAACCATGTGACATGTCAAATAATTTGTATGATCAATTCTTCCTTATTTTTTATAATTGAAACTATAGGCTATGATTAAATTAGGACTCCATTCATGTGAATGGACTACCTAAAGTCACCAATTATTAGGAGTGACTTAGCTAAAGATCACTACACTTATTCTTGGACTATGACTTCCCTCACTTTTGAATCCTTAGGTTGTCATAAAACCCTAAGCTAATATCCTTAACAAATAGGTGAAAATAGCTAGGTTCGTGTTCCTTGATAAAGAATGGGACAGTTTCTCAACAAACAGTGGGATAAGACTAGCATTCTTTTACTAGAAAGTAGCCATAAAATACCATGTGGATTTACCTACTTCTCTCTTTAAGTGAATTACTACCAAAAGATCATGCAATGGATGATACTCACTCATTTTACAAATTCACAGATATATACTCAATGAAAACTTATTAGATTTACAATAATAAACTAACTCGTGTGAGCATCTTTAGCAATTTCTTAAATACTCTCCACTTCAAATCTCAATGTCATAACATATTTTCAATTCTCCACTTAACACATATATAGCATTCACATATTAATACAACCACACTACCATCTCATCAACTAGACAATTCACATAGTTCAACATATAATTATGGTGTGTGCATGTCCCAAATCACACTATGCAATTATAACCAAATATGGGATAATTAATACTTTACTTATATTGTACAAATCATAAAACCCAATCTTTCAAGTTTATCATTTAATTTTTGCAAACATAAATCAATTAATGAACAATTACAAAGAAAAGATTTCTCCCGATTACTTCAAATTTTAAGAGGTCAAAGGTTTATCCCTTAAGTAAATGCTTCTAAGCTTGCTTTCAAGTTCAAACTAGTGCACAGACAATTAATCTACAATTAATAATATCTAAAATCCTTACTATCACCATCTACACAATTCAAGCTTCAAATTTCAATTCTATCATATCCCAAAATTCTCATTTCTAACACACAAACTTACCCATTGGGTTTCTTAACTTCCATCCACCTCAACCAATATTATTAAACTCCTAACTCATCATTAACGGCATTCAAACCTCTCCAACTACCCTATTTATTATGAAAATTCAGTCATAAATACGTATTCAGCAACAAAAATGTGTAAATTTATATATCTTTTATTTAAATACTTTAAACAACTTTCATTAACTTTATTTGAGTTAATGAATTTGAATTTATAACTTATATGGACTGAAAAATCAACTCTCCTTAACGAATCTTAGCAAAAAAACTTTAAAAAATGGGTTGGAAAGGGACAAGAAAGAGTTAAGAGACTTACTCTTAAGGTTTGATAATTTCAAAATGCCTCCAACCCTCTCAAAATTGAAGCCCTAACAAAGCTTTAAGCTTTGTCCTTCTCCTTCTTGCATTTTCTTTATTCTTTCTCCCTATTTTTCAAGTGTGGTTACATAATATTTTTATGGGAAATAGGCCATGCGTCACGACATGTGATATAGAGAAATCCCTTTGCATTTTTTTTTGGCCAAACACATCACAATATCTAGCATAAAAACACCCTCCTTTGTTTTTCTCCCATTTTTGATGTTTAGGTGATCACATTTCACTTTGAACCCAAATTTAAGGTTGAAATCACAACAAAAAATGCTTATTAGGCTCTTTTACCATACACCATTTTAATTCACTTAATAAATCTTGATTTAATCTAGTTAACAGGGATTTTTTTCTAAAATGTTACAATGAACATCTGCATTCCCTGTTAAAATTTAAAAAATAAATTGCAAATATGTTACAACACAATTATAAATTTGAAAGTCAAACTTGCGAATCCCTAGAGGCTATTAGATTTAATATTTTTAAACATTAAATATGAACTTTGTATTCCCCATTAGAATTTAAAAAATAAGTTGCAAGTGCATCATAATGAAGTTTTAAATTAATTTTCATTCTAAATAAAAATAGTTAAATAATTATTTTTTATTCTTTTTTCACTTCAAATTTTTCAGTAAAAATTAGCCTAATGTAATGTAAAGTTCAAGAGTAACTATATGGTACTATTATTATACACTCAGTCTGGTTCTATAAGGTGGAGAGAAATTTTATTTTATTTTATTTATAAGTCACAATATTAAATGTTATTATAATTTTTTTCACCTTTCATTTAATGTTAATAATAAAAAATATGCTATTAAATTATGTATAATGAGGACAAAGTTAAAAATTTATTAAATTTTTAGATAAAGTTAAAAAAATTTTAAACTTTTTAATTCAAGTTAAATATATTAAAAACAATTTACAAATAAAATCAGGAGAATATTTAATATAGTGAATCTACGTATGTGAGAACATAAAATAATAATAAGCCAAGATGCTAGCAGTAGTTTAGAATAGTATAGGTCTTCCTTAGGCGGATTAAATAGGCCATAGCCTATGAGATCAGTACTGATAACAAGTACTGCCCCAAGATTTTGTATCTCTCTCTCTCTCTCTCTCTCTCGGGATCGTGGAGAAGGAAATGGAGGCAAGTTCTTCAGTAGGAAGGCGAAAGGGTGGCCTCATTACCATGCCCTTCATTATCGGTTCTTACTTGATCTCTTCTTTTTCTTCTCCTTCTGGTTTTGTTTGGAATTATTGGTATGAACAGATATTAATTGATGATGAAATTACACATGCAGCGAACGAAACATTAGCGAAGGTGGCAATGGTGGGGCTGATGCCAAACATGGTGTTATATCTGACGGAGATTTACAATCTGCGGCTCCCCAGAGCTGCAAATATCATCTTCTTCTGGTTTGCTGCGTCCAACTTGGCTCCTTTGCTCGCTGCTTTCCTCGCTGATTCTTTTCTCGGTCGCTTCTTTGCCATCGCCATCGGTTCCGTCTTCTCTTTCCTGGTTCTTCTCCCCTCCCCTTTATCATTTCCATCTTTATCTTCTTCTTTTATATTACATATGTGTATATATATATATATGTAGTTATATACAAGTCTAACTTTCTGTCTGCTCCTTTCGAGAAAGAATATATAATACGCGGAGGATTCAAATTAGGTAGTTTTTCAAGGATTTGTACATTTTACTATGCCAAACATGGCCGGCGAGATTAAAAACAAGTCTAGTCTTTACTGTCCACGTTCAAGTAATTGTAGCGTGACTGACTCCAAATATCTAATTATATATGCAACTTAGATTAGATTCCATCTTTGGAACAAATTAATCATTTCATTCTTGCTATTTGAGCTACTTTATATTACTACTACTAAACCTATGTCTAACCCAAATTGAGTAAAGGGTTGGATCAAGTGCTATTTGCCTATTAGACAACGAAGGAATCATTTCATCTTTATTTTCATTCTCTGATCTTGATGACTACACTACATACACTATATTATTTGCTTTTACAAGTGAAAAAAAGGCCAGTTGAAGAGAAGGGTGTTGATTATAATTCTTTGTTTTTGTCTCATGGCATCCTTTCTAAGATCTCGTGCGAATTTGTTTGTTTATGTTTATACTCGAAGGCATCCATCCTTTTTAAGAATCAAGACTAATTTTTTCTTTTTTCGATATAAAGTATATGTATAATATGAAATTATTAAAAAGTCATACTGAATCAAAAACAGTGTGACCTATCTTAAACTTCATGTAAAGTATTGGTCAACAATTAAATTTTTAAGAGATAATGAAATTTTTAATCCCTTAAATTTAATTCAATTATCAATTTAATTTCTAAAATTTAATTTGTATTGCTTTGGTCTCTTGTGTTTATTAAATTATTATGTTAATCATTTAAGTTTTAAAACATAAATTAAATATTAAATTAATTTAACATATAAAGTATATTGATAGTTTAATGTAGCTAAATAAGAATAAATTATAGCTTTGTAAATCATAAATAGTATGTGTAACTTATTTTGAATTATCTCATGCACAGTTTGGTCCATAATAATTATTATTATTATTATTATTTTTAAAAAGTTACAAGTTGTCTTGTGATAATTGGATCACAGGGAATGGTATTCTTGTGGATAACATCAATGATCCCAGAGTTAAGGCCAAAGCCAAGCCAATCAGCAACAACATCCCAAATGGCATTCTTAGCGAGCAGTCTTGGTCTGACGTCCATCGGAGCTGGTGGCCTCTCATGCTCCATAGCATTTGGTGCAGATCAGTTCAACAACAAAGCCAACCCTAATAATCAGAAAGTGTTGGAGACCTTCATCAGCTGGTACATTGCTTCTCAAGCTTTTGCTTGCTTGCTTGCCTTGACAGCTCTGGTCTATGCTCAAGACCACCTCGGATGGAAAGTGGGTTTTGGTATTCCCCCAGGTCTTATGGTCTTGTCCATTGTCTCCTTCTTGCTTGCTTCTCCTCTCTATGTCAAGAATAAACCACACTCCAGCTTGTTCACTGGGTTTGCCAGGGTCATTGTTGTTGCCTTCAAGAATAGAGAGCTTCCTTTTCCTCCCGGTAACCCTGCTGGAAAGTACCATCATAACAAGGGCTCGGATCTTCTTGTTCCAACTAATAAATTGAGGTTCACTTCCATAATCTCTATCTTAATTATCTTCATTTTTTTTTTTGAATGATCTCAATGGCTTTCACTTTGTCATCTTGTGCTTAAGATGTTGACTTTATGTTGATCCAAGGTTTTGCTGACAAAACACTAATGTACTTTGAGGAGTACATTAATAATTTGAGTCTTTGAATTGTTAAACCTATATTATTTTTTAAGCTCATAACGTTAAAATTGATCTCATCATGTGTCTTGCAGTGTTTAGAAAAATGTCAAATAATTCATATTAAATTCAGATGATTTACGCAACAATTAAGAATCCTAACACACTATTTTGACATTTCCAATTCACGATAGAAGAGACAATGAGCAATGCTATAACCAATTACCAAATGTAAATATGCTTGGTGCTAAAACCAGAATTGATTCACAAATGACAAGAATCTGGGAATTGTTATGCTAAACCAGCAATATAGAAACAATGGAAACAACTGAAGTTTGTTTCACATTAATAGTTTTATAATGAACCTTACGTGAGATGAGTCTGTTGCTGTGTGTTAATTAGGTTTCTGAACAGAGCCTGCATAATCAAAAACCCAGAACAAGATATAACCCCAGATGGCTCAGCTTCAAATCCATGGAGCCTCTGCACCACAGAGCAAGTAGAAGAACTAAAAGCCATCATAAAGGTTCTTCCTTTATGGTCCACAAACATCATAATGACAGTGATCACAACTCAAAGCTCGTTCCGTGTCCTCCAAGCCAAATCCATGGACAGACACGTGACCTCGAACTTCCAAATCCCCCCAGGTTCGTACAATGCTTTCACCATGCTCTTCCTCTTTATCACGGTCGGCATCTATGACCGCATCATCATCCCAATAGCTTCAAAAATCGCAAAAAGACCAGTTCGAATCAGTGCCAAGACAAGAATGGGAATAGGGCTGTTCTTCGGAATCCTCGACCTCATAGCGTCTGCTATAATCGAAAACAAAAGGAGAACCAAAGCGATTCGACAAGGGTTTGCAGATAACCCAAAAGGGGTCGTGGATATGTCGGCAATGTGGCTTCTTGTTCATCTCTCGTTGGTGGGGATAGCAGAAGCGTTCAACGTGATAGCACAATCAGAGTTTTACTACTCGGAGTTTCCCCGGACGATGTCGAGCATTGGCTCGTCCCTGTACTCTTTGGGAATGGGATTGGGGAATCTGATGGCTTCACTGATCTTGAGCATTGTGGATGGGGTTACTTCCAGAGGAGGAAGACAAAGTTGGGTCGGTAGAAATCTGAATAAAGGGCATTATGATTGGTATTTCTGGGTTCTTGCAGCGATCAGTGTGGTGAATTTTGTGTACTATTTGGTCTGTTCGTGGGCTTATGGGCCTAGTGCTAGAACTGGGTCAGTGGAGGAGGAACGTTCAGAGGAAGAAAGGAATGAGGTTGAGTGAAGAATGTGGGCGCAATGGTATTGGTGAAGATGAAGCTCAGGTAATTCATAGCTTCGCTTGATGTAGTGAATCATTTAAGAGGTTTGTGAAGATGCAGTTTCTTAGCATGATTAAGTGTTCTGGTTTGCATAATATAATGTTCAGATATGCATATGGTTTTGTAATTATCAAGTTCCAAAATGGGATTGGAGATATCAGTTCAAAAGACATTTTATAATTAACTTATTTTGGATTTCTTAGTGCTGTGAACATTATTGAAAATATGAATATAAAATATCAGCTTTATAACAAGTTATTCTAATAATTTCATGTCAATGACAAGCTGTCCTAGTGGCAAGGCCACTATGTGAGTTGTATTTATTAATTGCTTGCTTTCAAATAATAATAATAACAATAATAATAATAATAACAATAATAATAATAATAATAATAATCTCATGCGTGTGAGGAACCTATGTATAATATAGATCATGCTGCCCTCTTATTGTTTAATCCTTGGGTGTATAGGTGTTGGTTTGGTTCTGCTCTTGCAATGAAAATTGAATATGATATGGTTGTGCTTTTTCTACTTGATCATATGTATATATAAATAAATAATTGTGTGATTGAGCTAGCTAATTGATCACGTCCAATAGGTGCAAATTAACTATCTAAATTTTGACTATCATCTCTTAAGATTTAGTAATTTTTTGCTTGCTGATCTTTGTAATGAGTCAAATGCTCATGGTTAAATATATTGTTTTCTCTTCTCTGTGGTTTGATGTCATAGTCTTTATATTACCAAAAAGAAGAAGAATGCTATTTTTATTTTTTTTCATAAGAGGTTTTATCTTTTAGATATATATATATATATATATGTATATATATGTATATATATTAAAGAGAGTGGGCACAGCCCATTACATACGCCTGCTTTATTTTGTCGCTAGTACACACATGGTAATAAATTTTTTTTTTTTTTTGGTCTAACCCACCCAAATTATAATAAAGAAAAATAAGATATAATTATAAGCCCAGTGTGCTTAATGAAGCCCCGCAAAATGATCAAGCATGCAACCTAAAAGCAACAATGGTGACAAGTTGCATTGTTGACAAATTATTAGACTAAACATAAAAATTAATATTACCTCATCTAAAATTATAATATATTTTTAAAAAAGATTATATGTTTTAAAATATAAAACACTTTAATAAAAATAAAATTTTATTAATAATTTTTTTAATATTATCTCTCTCATTGTATTCTCCCCTTTTAAGATTCTTTATAAGTAGAATATTAAGTGAAACATATTTTTAAAAATTTATATTTTTATCTTGTGAAAGTAAAATTAAAAGGTATATTTAACAAATTTTATTAATATGTATAATTTTATTTAAACTATCTTATAAATTGAAATGTAGAGAGTATAATATAAAAAAGAAAAAATTACTTAGATAGTACACACAAAACAAATTAAATATTGGAAGACCTCATGAAATCATAAAATTAATATTAAATCGCATGTCTTATACTTAACAGAATTTGTCAATTAGTGCTAATAGTTGTTAATAGAATTGTTAAGTTCACAAATCATAACTATACAATAATAATTAGTAACTTTCCAGTCACAATTGACAATAAATGATGCATAATTTTAGAGTCATTTTATGTTTTTTTTTTCTCCCCCGGTATTGATATTCCTTTGTATGGGATATGAGTATGAGAGTGACTTATTCACATAAGCTACACGAGAACCATGAGTGAAAAATAAATTGGGAAAGAAACAGAGAAAGAAGAGCTAAAGTTTAGAAGAAAGTGGCTTGTGAATGTTAATATTGGGATGAGAAGGTGCCATCCACATGATCCCCAAGGCAACCATTCGTCCATGGCGCTTGTTCCTCACCTCCACCCTCACTGACGTCATCCTTCCCTCCTCCCCCATCACTTTCCCTTCTACTTCCACCTCTTCCTGCCATCATCATCATTATCAATTCATTTCATTCTTCAATTCAAATATACAAATATTCTCAGAACAGTTCATGATGAGCAGGCAGGCACCTGGAGATCGGGCTTGGAGTAGCAAGAGACGGAGAGTTGAACAGTGAGCTGTGGTTGTGATGTGAAGGAGAAGGCCGTCCAGCTTCCAATCACGTCCATCAATGTCGTCATCGCACCCTGGTGCCACTTCCCACTTTCATCCTATCAATCAATCAATCAAATCCACAGCCAAAACTGAAGCTGATTCGTTGATTGATTCACAATCGGAGAATGTTAGGTTAGGAAGGACTTACTGATACGCCACTGTGAACGAGGAAATCGCAGAGAAGAAAACCTTTGCGAAGCTTGAGCAGCGTGACGCCCCTCGTAGCCTCCACCTCCGCGTCATGACCTACAGATCCCTTTGACAAGCTGCTGATCCGTTTCTTTAGTATCTCCTGAGCTCTCGAGTCTTCCATCTCTCTCTCTCTCTCTCGCCTTTCTCAGTGATCTCTTTAGACATGAAAGTAACTTCTTGTACCCTTCCTTGTGACTTATATTTACTTGAACTATCCGTTCCTGGCTAGTCTCTTTTTTCATTGCTTGACAAAAGGAAGAAGCTCTTCTTAGCCACTAGAGTCTGAGTCGGCTTTTTCATTGGGGAAGAGCCTCTCTTATCTTTTCTGGGTTTAGCGGTACAAACTACTAGAGTTGGAAAGTGGACGGGCCTAATAAGCTCGGCCCTCAGTTTAAGCTCGAAAACTCAATTATTTTAAATTCATTCAAAAGTTGAGACTCAACTTTTATTTATGGTATATTTGAATTAAAAATTTTAAAATTAAAGTTAGAATCAATTGAGGTTAGCAAACTGAGGTTGGAAGAAATATTTATGATTTTAATATGATTTATGTTTGGATATTTTTTTCAGAAGTCAGTTAAATGAACTAAAATTTATTTGGATGATTTGATTCAAAAATCAGTTGAGATATATAATGATAAAAATAGACATCAATTTTTTTTTTGTATATATTTTTGTAACTAATATGATATTTTTAGGAAAGAATATTAAACTTACAATTAAATTTTTCAGGAAGGTAAAATTAAATTATACAATTTTATTCTTTAAAAGTTAGAATTAAAAAATCTAAGATAAATGACATATTAATTTTTTTTAAAATTTTATAAATGTGTTGCACTGATTTTAAAAAATAAATTACATTGCTACTAACTTAAAAAAATTATTGTTTATGATTAGTTTTTTATTCCATTTAATTTAATCATAATTGATTTAATGATTCAATTTGTATAATCTCATATTTCTTTTTCTTTCTATTTTTTCCTGAAGCCTTGTGCAAATACTTTATGGTAAGATGAGAGATTGAGGAAGCCAAGAGATATCATGTGAGGACAAGAAAGAGAAAACCACAAAACAATGAATACCAACTTCACTTTCCCACGTTACGTTGCTTCAGAAGCTGCATTTTGTGGCTTCAATTCTAACGCTCGTTTCTTTGCCAACACTCTTTACAAATTTTTATAGCCAAATAAAAATAAAATTTTTACAATGAGCTTTTGACACCTCAACTAAGGTTTTGACCATCCAAACCTCAGTTACGTATTTATCCAAACATGCACTTAAAGGGTACAAAACTGAGCTCATAAACTCATTTACAAAAAAAATAAAATAAAATAAAATTTAACATTTTATTTTATTTAAAATATTCTAAAATTCAAGATATATCGAACTAAAGTCTCACATAATTTAAAAAATAAATTCAAGATTTAAAAGTTTAAATAAGATAAAAACAAAAGTTATCATCAATGCTAATCAAGATCTTCCTCATCATCATTTATAAATAAAATGTTATTTCCAACTCTGTCACAAGTTTGAGAGTGAGAGAGTGAAAGATCAAGTACGAGTGTGCTACATAGAGTTTTTTTGGATGTTAAAAATCTAACTCCAATTCAGCCATTCTTCAAAGTCTAACATAAAATTAAAAAAAAAAAGTTAAACGGACCTGACAGACTGCCCCGAACCCAAATTCTTTTTTTTAGGACTTAAAAAGGCTGAATTTTAAAATTCAACTATTTTAAAAAGCATCAAATTTTTATAGTTTAAATTCTTATTAAAATGGGCTATTCCCAACTCTACAAACTACTCTTCCCTTCCTTTTCGTTTCGATTCTGAAGAGTACGACAAAACTTTGCCTGCAAGTGAGTCTTCCCTGACATTTCATCTATTTTTTAGTGCATTTTTGACTTTCCACTCCACCAACTACCCCCTTCCTATTTTCCCTGTCATTGTTAGTTTTGAGATTTAATATACAATAAAATTATTATAATGTTAATAAATAAATTTAAATTACTAACATGTGATCTAAACAGTTTAAAAATGTAAGAAAAATATTTGTAATTTTTTTAGTTTTAAAATATATTAAATCAAAATCAATAAAGTTGAGATTCAATTTAAAAAAAAAATTGGAGGAGAGATGCATGAGAGTAGGGAGCCTAGCTCCTGTGGGAGCACTCTGCTCTCCTCTCATTGCATGCTTTGGCGTGCATTTTCCAAGATATGAGATTGAACATCAAACTTGTCAAAATACTCACTTAAAAGTAAATAACCAACATTATAATTGAATTGTAGTCTAATTCATCATGAACAAAAAATTTCACCAAATCGATAAAAATATTTATTCAATAATTTACCAATTCAACTATATGAGTTAACCCAATTTTTCAATATTTTGGTGTCTTTGACTTGAAGAAAAAATTATTATAACATATAAAATCTATAAAATCTATACTATTTATATCAATTTGACTTTTACTTCATGCTGAAATATTTCTAGTTGTAATAAACACTCATATTCATCGTATTGAGCTTTTTTTGACATCAAGGTAATAATATAAAAAAATGAAAATACATATATAGTTCACTTAGAGCCATTGTTCAATTGCAAATTCCTTCGGCCATGCAATACAATGTAATGCCATCTTTATTATCATGGCAATGTTTGGTATGATATCAAGGACAAGGAAGCGGGTAACATTTTTTTTATATCTAACTAAATAAAAATGAATGTGAAACTACAGAAATGCCCTTGGTCAAAATTCTCTCTTCCCTCCTTCCTTCACCTTCCCATCAATGTGAAAATTCAAGATGCATGAACAGCAGAAAATAGCCTTGGAACGTAAAAAGAGATGAACTAGAATTTATTGCTCAGACGCCAGCAATCCCTTCAACTCTTTTTTGTTGACCTGAAATTCCATAAAAACACACACGCACGCACACGTTAACTTGCATTCTCAACAATTTAAGATCAATTCATGGTCTAAAAGAGCACGTCATTTGTTTGCTGTAATCTGGATTCTCCCTTTTAGAGTAATTAGTAATACATGCATATGTAATATATTTGGAAACATTCATGAATGTGAGTCCCGTACACAAATATATATATATATATATATTGGCGTTATTCTTCAGATATATGAATATATAAGGGAAAATTAGTCACAAGGACCATAAGGTTCAAATATTTGGGCATAAGTTCCAAATTTGAAATAGAGCCTGCAGAAGACCATAATTCTGGAGAGACGATATGTTTTCGTAGAAAATACTAAAATACCTTTCCTTTTTCTGCACTAGTCTGCAAAAGTCATCCATAAATCTTTAATAATCTGTACTTTGGAGACGAGTACAGAAAAAGAAAGGATATTTTTCATATTTTTACTAAAAAAATATATTATCCCTTGAGGACCATAGTTCCGTGCAGGCTTTATTTCTACATTTAAGACTTTTGCCCAAATATTTAAGCCTTTTGGTCCTTGCGGCCAATTTTCCCGATATATAAATGTGAAGGATCTGTGTCTGTTGTACGGCTAAAAAGTGAAAGCCATTTACCTTCCCCATTGCATTACGAGGAAGAGAGTCCCAAAGGATCAATCGAGTGGGTATCTGGCAACACAAACATAAGGATCAAATGCATTGGTCGTGTGAATGAAAACTGATCTGTTCTGTATATAAATGGAAAGCACAGTGATGGATGATGGAATACCTTGTAAGGTGCAAGCCTGTCTTTGGCCCAAGAGGACAATTCTTCTAAAGACATGGCAGGCTTCGACTCTTCTTCTCTCTTTTTCTTAGTCCCAGCCTCTGGCACAATAATTGCACAAACTACTTCTCCGTAAGTTTTGTCTGGTAACCCCAACACGCAACATTCTGAGACAGCCGGATTCTACACAAAAATTAAAAGTGTGATTGTCAGTGTAAATGTGGGTGTGACTGTGCGCGCGTAAATGTTTTGTAAAAGCTTATGTAAAAAGTTAAAAAGCCCTCGAGGAAAAAAGAAAATCTGAAGGGACGTAATAGTATCTACTTGCCTCCAATATAACTGATTCAATTTCTAATGCAGACAGCTTGTATCCACCGACCTTCATTATATCAGCATTGGTACCTGATAAACAACTGGAATTGTAAGATGGTTCAAGCCTGCGTGATCTAGTTTTCAGGAAAATAATAGGCCAATGCAAGACATTAATTCCACAAATCAGAGGTTCAGAGTAGCTGAGAAAATGAACCACCTTACATCCATATATTATCTAGGTTTTCATTCCTTCCCTAGTACATTTTGATTTTCCAACTAGCCAATGAAAATTAAACAGCTGATGGCTCATACCATATCAAAGTTTGCAAGCAAACAAGGGTTCTTTAAAGGTAAGATGCTAAGAAGATTAATGCCGGCCACACCTCTGCCCTCTGGTCTGGATCAAACGGACAGACCAGTGAATTTTGCATGAGACGCCATTGAAGTTAACACAAACAGGGGAAACTCTAAACAGCAAAGCATCAATATTTGAGTTCGACTTGATACAATGTAGTGATGAGGAGTCAGAAATTGTCATCCAGATTCATTCATGAGCAGTGCAAGACGCAATCACAATGCTGATTGATTGTAAGTCATCCTACTTATGATTAGATATAGGCTTGAACTTGACAAGATGTTATTATTATGTCATTGCTAACAACAGTATCCTGACTTTGAAATTAAGCATAAGAATATCTAAATCTCATACTACCAGAGACTCATCAGAAAAAGAGGAATATCAGTGAATTGGTGTTTTCAGTATAAACTTGAATGAGCCAAAATAATCCATAAAAAACTCCAGAATGACAAATTATGTGCAAATCACACGGGGCAAACCACCAAAGCAACAAAATATAATGGAATCTTGCGAGAAAGAAGCTAGCCATCCAACAAAAGAGGAACATTTCATGAGGAACAAACATTCATAAGCACTATGCATGAAGAAATCTAGATTTTCTCACGTCCTAAAATGATGTAATATCCATCTTCATCCATAGTAACTGCATCTCCAGTTTTGAAGAAGCCATCATCAATAAATGATTCCTTTGTTACCTGCACAAGAATAGTAAAGGTTGCAGGGGAAAAAAAAAAAAGTACACTGAAAAGAAAGAGGTTTTTGCTTTTCTTTTCTTTCTTTCTTTTTTTTAAAGAAAAAAGAAAGGAAAAGAGATATTATTGTCGGAATGCTCTATCTTTTAACATCTTAAAACTCGACTAATTCAGTCCTGGTGCTAAATTCAACTATAATTCAGCTTAGAAGAGCAAAAATACAGCCCATCTATTATTTAAAAGAAGTACAGTGCAATGGTGGCCGGTGTACTCATTCGTATCAAAGCCAAAAGCTGA